CTGGAATCCCAGTAATTTGCTAATGACTAAGGCAAATCATCTCCCAAACCTATAAACAGCGGTACTAAGGGAGGCCCTTTGAGCTCTCCTGGACCGCAGCGGGCTACAACCAGCACCTCCCTCCAAGTGGGATGCCTCTCGGAGCTCGCAAACTCTTCGGTTTGCGAAGATCGGAGATCTGTTGCCAAAAGACGACAAGACTTGGGCTGATACTCTCTGCTCCTCGAGGCTTGACCCTTCACCCGTTGAGAAAGATGCCAAAGCATTTCATGTGAATATTTTCACTGAACTTGAAGGGAATTTTTAACAGGTATACCTCTTTCACTTGCATAAGCAAGCATCTCTCTTAGTGTCTTTGTGCATGTGCATGTGTACTAACCTGAACACTCTATAGCAAGCGTATTACAAATATTGCTTTTCAAATCTATACAGAAGTCACTGCCATGAACTTCATTCAACTGTGAATGAATCTCAGGCTGCTATTATACTCATAATCCCTTTAGATATAAACCATTGACCAAGTCAGGGACTAGGAGTCGGTCCAGCTGCTGCTAGACTCCAACAGGAGTTTAGAAAGCAAGGGCATCTTCTCTGAACCCGTGAATCAACGGGAGGGTCTCCCCTACCTCTTTACATTCCTGATCTCTGTACCAATCACGAGAAATCAATCCTAACCTATGGTGGCTTGACCCTGGCTGGATGCCAGGTGCCCACCAAAGCTGTTCTATCACTGCCCCCATCTCAGCTGGATAGGGGAGAGAAAATATAATAAAAGGTTCATGGGTAGAGATAAGGACAGAGGGAGATCACTCACCAATTACCGTCACGGGCAAAACAGACTCAGCTTGGGGAAAATTAACTCAATTTATTGCCAATCAACCAGACTAGGGTAATGAGAAATAAAACCACATCTCAAATCCCTTCTTCCTGGGCACAACTTCACTCCCGCATCCTGTACCTACCCCCCACAGCGGTGCAGGGGGACGGGGAATGGGGGTTACGGTCAGTTCATCACACATTATTTCTGCCGCTTCATCCTCCTCAGGGGCAGGACTCATCACACTCTTCCCCTGCTCCAGTGTGGGGTCCCACCCATGGGAGACAGTCCTCCACGAACTTCTCCAACGTGGGCCCTTCCCACGAGCTGCAGTTCTTCATGAACTGCTCCAGCACGGGTCCCTTCCATGGGCTGCAGTCCTTCAGGAGCACACTGCTCCAGCTTCAGTCTTCCTGGACTTCTACCACGTAGATGGGGGATCAAGGATGCAAAAGTGAGACAAATTTCCATGCCAGCCTCATCTCTCAGACTCTATGAGTACTTATCAAAGTAAGGAGCAAGGACAAAAAACACTTTGTCAGTAACAGTTCATTAGTATTTTCCAAACTCAGAAGTTCAGCCCAACAAATGAAAGTATTTTCTATATTTGATTACATGCTCTTGGCAACTTAACTGACGCAATAAATGAGACAAAAGTGACTAACCCGTCACAGAGAGCACCGGAGACGGTCAGAATCATCATGCAGAATTCCAACTTGCAAATCCACAAGCGTGGCACAAGTTACCAGGTTTCCATGCCAAAATTGTCACAAATGGCTCTAGCTCTACCCAAATTGTGTCCTGTCCTCCCCCCCTCAGTGCCTCTAACAGCACCCAGAAACAGGTACTTAAGAAGAAAATGCAGGAAACAAGTAAAACACAAGCGTGGAGTAACTCACCTCCTGAGCACTTTCCTATTAGTCCTAACAGTTTTGAGTTTGGGTTTAGTTTAGTAGATTATTTTTTTTTATTTGAAAACATTCCAGACCTTTCTTACCCTTACGTTAACTCTAAATACATTTATCTGTGGCCAGTTCCCATTAAGTCTAACACCTTACAGTCCTTCTGCATACACTTTTGAGTTTTTATTAACTCTGATGATTTTGTGGTGTATTTATCAACTGCTAAACTTAGCACCTGAACATTCAAGAAAAAAAAAAAAAATCACCACCTGCCTCAATAAATCCTGCTGTGCTATTTAAGATGACAAAGAATACAAAGTCACTCTTTCTATAATTCTGTGAGCCACATCAAGAGCACTGTATCTCACTGAGCTTCATTGCCTCGCTTTCCCATGCAGCCAGAGCTGGTATCAACAGTGTGAAGCCAGTCATTCTACAACACTAAAGACAAAACACAAGTTCAAATACCAAGATTCAAAATCTTGCACAGACACCTCCTTACTCTAATAACCAACCTATTTTCCTGTACTTCAAGAACTGCATACATGTTTGCAAATGAGACTACAACTTCTAACAGAAATCTCAAAAGGGAAGGAAATATCTTTTGGGGAAAGAAACCTTACTAGAGAGTACCAAGTTTGCCATTCATTAGTCTTAAGGAAATAGTAGTCCAATATTGAGAAACAGAATTCAAAACTATGTATTTTCCAACAGCACAACTTAAAATTTCAATTGCTGGTCCTCTCTAAAGATTATAGAATGTAAGGCAGTGTATTATTTAACAAACTGTACACACGAGCGGAAGAAAATGAGCAACTCCGTGATTCGTAAGAAGAAATAGGTAGACAAAAGGATCACTGAGCTCCTGATGTGACACAGTTGCTTCTTAGGACGGGATGCTGCCAGAAACTCAGCATTACGCAGACAGGACAGCAAACTGCCTTCTCTTCTTGACCTATACAGCAACTGGCAATGCACCATCCATAATACTGAAAATGCTCCCATTTGTATGTTTAAAAAAGGGGTTGGTTTTTTTTAAAGAATTTGTGGTCTTTCTCCAGATAAGACACTAATTCACAGAACCTTGCAGCTGGAAAAGGAATTCTGGAGGTCTCGAGACCAACCCCCTGCTCAGTGCAGGCCCACTAAAGCAGGTTCCTCAGCTGGCCTCGTCCAGTTGGCATTTCAAGTACCTCCGATGACACAGCTCCTACAATTCATGCAGGAAACCAGGTGTTGGACCATTCTCAAGGTAAAAAACATGTTTTCATATCCATTATGGAAGGTTTTGTCTTCCAACTCATTGCCGTTGCCTCTTATCCTTCCTCTATGCGCTTCCAAGCCGAGTTTGGCTTAATCTCCTTTGCCGCTTCCCACTAACTGCTGGTAGACAGCAATAAATCTCCCCTCTCTCTTTGCAAGGCCATCTCTTCAGGGGCTGAACAAAAACCCAGTTCTCTCAGCACATCATGGGCTCCAGCCTCCGGTCTGCCTCAGCAGCCTTCCACTGGATCCGCACCAGTACATTCATGTGTTGTACTGGGGAGCCCAGAACTAGACAGAGCATCCAGATGCGGCCTCAAGAACTGCCAGGGAATAGCAATTTCTCTTCACCTCCTGGCTACGCTCTTGCTAACACAGCCCAGCAGACACTTGCTCTCATCCTACAACCAGGCACCTCAGGAAAACATAGGATTTCACTTCCACCTCCTCACCTTAGCAGGCCATTGCCAGGACCCAACTCTTCAAAGAAACGCTGCCAGATCAGCATACTGACCTGCTTTTATCCTGCCACCAGCAGACTATGTAACGCTACAGCGAGAAACCAAGCCCAACTGCTGCTGCTGTCATTCAATCCTGTCTAACGGGTAGATCGCAGCCTGAGAAATCGTATGGCAACACTAAACTCACATAAAATGCAATAAGAAAACAGAATTTATATGAATTTTTTTACGCTTCTGAAGCGAGCGTGAGAGAACGTATCATGCATTCCCCCAGCGAAATACATCCACTAAAAGGTAATTTTAAGTGCAGTATCAGGACTGAAAATTAGGAACATTTAGTTTCAAACAACATTTCTGAAACAACATCCCTGCCCTACCTACACACCAAACCTTGATAAACTCCTTCAACCCCATCTTCTGCTCAGGGGTCAGGAAACAGACTAACAAGAGAAATAAAACAAGACTACAGATTCTTCTCACCACAACAAAGGCAAGTGACTATTGGCTTGTTACTGTTGTCTACATCCACCTGGTATGCCACCTGCTTCTCTCTTTCCCAGTGCTATATAGTCTTCTCTAATGACAAAAAGATCCCAGTTATTTAAAAAATCACTTCCTATTACCAAAGATTAATGAGCACTAACTTTAACAGATAAAACATGAATCATCCTGGTCTGTACTATGACAACCATCTGAGAGCAAAGAGTACAAGCAATGCTTTGCCCTCTATGCCGATGTGACCTTTTACAAGACCGGGTCTTGCACAGACTTCAGTGCAAAGGGCAATAAGCATGCAGAGTTTCACAACAACATATGTCTGCTGACTTAAGATGTATGCAGAGCAAGGTGAGATGCGAATCTGAATACCCTTACAGGAAGTGCTTACACGTAATGACACTGATGTTTACATGAAAAAAATAGCAAACACGGGTCCTTTAAGGCATAAAATATTTGCACTTGACCTTTAAGACTTACATTAAAAGAGATCTGATACACAGTTGAATGAAGTATTTGGTTTGTAATCATCATTTGTTCTTTTTCGAGGTGCTACTTGCCTCGTTTTAGTCTATGCGGAGTGTTGTTGCTCAACAGCTGATCACCAGAAACAATACATGAAACTTGTCCTCCTAACTCTAAATCTAATGTACAAGAGACTGACAACGACCTAGTTTACTTTGCAGTTACAGGAAATCAGCTCTCAGAACTGTTACGAAGACTATCACGTGAATCACCTGGATATCAAACGACTATACCTGACTACCTATCAATCTGCGCCACTGTCTTAATTAATTAAACCAGTAACTACAGCATCAGTCCATCTAGCCTTCTCCCTTACCCTAAAACTTGTTGCTTACTAGCCCACAGGTCAGATCAGCTTCACTACAAGAAGGCAGCCTAGGTGAGTCACAGTTTTATTCAATATTCATCTGCCCAATTCCTTACGATACTTCGGGAGACAAACCTGTATTACTAGACTATTCTAACTGCAAAACGACCACCCTTGAAACAAAACTTCCCAATAAACATACATTTGTGCTGAACAATCATTCTTTATGGCCAGACGGTCAATGCTTTATTTGGAAAAATAAATATAATTCCAGATGCAACATTTTACAGTAAATAAGTACATCTCTATAAGATAGCACTACTTAATTACCCATGCAACATTTGTGGGACAGCTCTTCGGACAGTTTAAACAACATCATTTCTTAAAACCGTATTTAGTAGTCAAGGCAGACACAATATCCCTGTAAGGAGTATCTGAGTCAGATTTGGTCCTTGGTATGCAACACAGCCGACGAAAGGTCGGAGAACGCAGCAACAGGTTGTGCGAGAGTCCCATGAAGCTCGAGGACAGCCAGTACAACGCCATGGACTGCAACGAGACAAATACCGAATTCAGCATCCCTAGATGCAATGCGAACACTACAATTTTAGGCAGCTCTTCACGAACCACAACCACTGGTTACTCCCAGTTATTGCGAAAAATAACTCACCTAAAACCACTCCTCTCAATAACAATAATGGCTTCCATTTCAATGTGTTTTTCACTCTTTCTCAACTCTTCTGGAGGAAAAAAGTCAATCTACACTGAAGTTTGACAACAGTTCATAAATTAAATCATATTAAACTCGCTCGAACTTCTGTATTTCAGACACTGAGTTGATAAGCCAAACAACTAGATACTTTGTTTTTGCTATCCACTGCAAAAATATTCAGAAGTAGAACACCTTGTAAAAATGAGAAGCATTTTAAGATTGTGGAAAATTTCCTCATCAAAGAACTAGGCTGCTTTCCTCTCTCAGTAAGCAAACACTTCGCAAACGCTTGTCTGTATGTCCTTATATAAAGTCTTCCTCCCATTTTTGAGATGATAAAAAGGACGCTAACCTGTTCTGAACGTCCTTCTGAGCCCTAGTTTGCGAAAATGATGTTTAGAAACAGTAAATTTGCAGATCCTTCCCTCTTGGACAAAAATATTCTACATGTGTTAAGAATTTAAATGTACACGTAGACAAAACATCTTATTTGTTTTAGGGCACACTGTATTAGAGAGCATGGCCTATTAAACACACCAGGCATTTGGGCTGCTCTTTACGCACAAGGAATGTATCAGAGTCACAGGTTCATGGACGCACCGTTAAGACTCTGTACTTACAGAGGGGACTGTTGCAGCAACAGGGATCATCACTACTGACACCACTCGAAAGAAATTTGTAGCAAGCTTCTGGAACCTGGAAACTTCCATTTTTTGCGAAGCAAAGATCTGAAAGGGGAGAAACCCGCAGTTATAAACAAGCTCTCTTTGAAAGGACTACAATGAGAAAAAAGGCAACAGTGGGCTTTCTTGTAACCCAGCACTCTTGTTCACCTATTACTTCCATTTTGCATTTTCCATTTCAGTTAACATATTGCTACAATCTTTCATTCAACTTGTTTGATGTTTTACATGTTCAGTCCTTTGTAGAAAATACTGCACCAACCTAGCAAAGTACCCAACAACCATTTCCAGGTAACATAACTTTACACAGTCACTTTTGCACACCAAAAGTTCCAACACCTCGGCCTGAAGCACAGCCCTCTGAGAAAAGGCTGCCGACAGGAAACTGACCAAACATGGTGGATAGATCACTGAACGAAAGCAGAATCAGGTCTACAGTTACATACTGACTTTTTTTTTTTTCTAAGACAGTGTCAGTCCACATGACATAGAAGAAAATGGAGTAAGAATGAAATCCAGAGGGTTAGAGTGATGAGAACACCTAACAGAAAAATCAAGAAGAAAAATATTTCCATTAAATTACCCCCCAAAATGGGAAATGAAGACTTTTTTCTGTTTCTGTTGATTCATCTCCCCAGCAATCTTCAAAAGTTCTGAATTTTTTCAATTTATTAAGAACACATAATATTGTTAGTTTTGACAACAATACAGTAACAAATAATTGGGAGTGGGGTGTAGAACAAAACAAGAAAGCCCATATGTGCTTTTGGATGCTTAACACCCAGGAAGCTCATCAGAACATCATTCTAAGAAAAACATCAGAGTCAAGACTAAATTTTACTGATGCTCAAGCAAAGCCATTAAAGTATCTGAGATGTGTCACATAAGAATTTGTCATCTCTAAACAAGACACCCACCCATTCAAATGCACAGAGTAATTAAGTTGTTTTTCAGTTCTCCCCAATGCACTTAAAACAGTGATTATCTGAAACTACCCTTATGTTACCATGTTCTACAACTGGGTAATATTGTCTTACAATTCTATAAGAATTATCCTTTTGCAATCATCCTATTTATTCCACCAACATACCTCCACTATCAGCAAATTCATGAGCCCAAGCGAAACTGGCAAAATCCATGTAGAATCTGGTGCCGTGAGGTCTGTAAACCATAATGCTCCGCCTGCTGAAAACTGTTCTTGAACTACAAGAAAATACTGAGTTAAGCATGATTTGCTACCTCAAGTTAAACAGAAGCATACCATGTATTACAATCAAATCATCCAAGTTTCTAGGTACATTTTGTCTACACAATAATTACTATTAAAACAGAAATACCTGGTTTAACAGATTGCATGACAAGGCAGCCTGATATCAGTACAAATAAAAAATGGTGGGAGATGCAAGCTGAGATCCAGCTTAGCTCATGACAGCCACCGATTCAGGTAAACCTGTGATAACAACTAGCTTGATCTCCACAACCATTTTACAAGCCAATGAGAAAAATATGCAATGCAGTAGGTTACAGTGACTACATATTTTGTGGGTTTGAAATATTTTTCTTAAAAACTATATAACTTGTTATATTTTTCTTAGAACAAGAAACTATGAACTCTTTTCTAAAAAAATGAAAATACCAGTATTTTTTTTTAAAAAAACCCCACACATTCACCTTGCCTATAGTCCTTCATGTGAAACTTCACACGGAAGAAAAAAAACACAGATTAATAGTGATTGTGCTACGGCATGGGTTATATTACTTGCTAAATAAGTTTATCTTGTGAAACAGAAAAATCCCAAGACAATTTTTTTTTTTTTCCTAGTAACCCTGTCTTCAGAAGACCACAAAATAATTACACGCTCACACAGCCTAACAAAATGCCCCCCATTGTTCCCAGAGCTCAGGCCCTGGTACTGCTTTTAAAGAGGCATCCCACAAAGCTCACAACAGCATCACAAAAAGCAAAAGCATGTAAGTAGAGATCAGTGATGTTCTAGACGCTGCGAATACTTGCTGGAAGAGTTCAAACCAAAGAAACGTACAGCTGTGGTCCAGACGCGAGTTCTTTGGTTACATGAACGGTGGTTTAATGTAGTACAACATGCACAATGTACCTAGTCAAAGTCTTTGAAATTCATTTTTATTTTTATCAGCCATTTAAATATGCTTAATCTATATTAAGTTTAAAAGCTTAGTAGGGAAGTAGTTTTATACATCACTCAGGAGACTGTGTTCTTTAACTAATGAAGCATCTGCAAAAACTGTAACTGATTGAAAAATGACTGTTAAGAGCGTGTCTGTTCAGATTAATCACCTCCTGAGTCCGTGGCACCAACACTGCAGTTGCGCAAAGCGAGGGACACGCAAATCCACATTGGAATCTGTACCCATACCAGTAAAGTGGCTTTGAAGGGATGGCAGTTGTCTCGAATGTACAGTTCCGTAATAATCCTCCTTAGGTTTTTCTTAAAGTGGAACCTTTTAGAAAGAAAAAAAAAAAAAGTCCTCTCACAATACCTGTTACAGAGTAACGTCTCAAATAGCAATTCTACAGGCTGTACATGTCAAATTGGCTTCTTTAGGTGCAACTCTGGAAAACCTGAAAGTCCTTCCTCTTCAAATGTGCCTCTCTCCTCTGCCAACCCCTTTTCCTCACAACTTTTACCCCTGTTGCTCTAAGCACCTTTTCACAACTGAATTTCCCTTTGTCATCGGCAGCTACCAGTAACTTGTCTGATATTTTATTTCACTGTGCTTTTTGTCTGAACTAGGGTATAACTTTCTCAATACAGCGGCAATCAGCCAGTTACGTGATCCTCAGTAACCCGACTTAGATACACTGCTACTGCACGGGGTGCGGTGATACTGCACGGGGTGCTAACAAATGAACAGGACCACCACCATTCAAGCCTCAAGTTCCAGCAATATTTAGATACCACAATAGCTGAAGAACCATGAGCTACAAGTAAAGACAACAAAAACAATCCTGCATTTGGCCCTGTAATCATAAGCCTATCACAAGTTCAGAGCTTTAAGACAGATATACTCTGTCGGGCAATATAAGAAACACAAATAAGTCATAGAAGCGGTAAGAAAACCGAAGCTTTGGACAATGGCAGAATGTTTTTGCAAGATCGTTGTTTGTAGGACTTTCCCTCCTGCTACCCCTCAACCCGCAATGGATTTATAAGGTATATGCCATTGCCATCTTACCTGGCCACCTTTTCAGACCAACCCAGTTGCTTTCGACAAACGGAAACTTCATAGCGAAGATGCTCAGCTAGTTTTTTAATCTCAGGTTGCAAATTTTCCAACTAGCTAAAGAAAAGGAAAAACGTTTATGCGCAGTTATGTGTAACAACCACTTCCTCTCCCCACCTGATACTGTAAACACATTAAAAATGAGTGCGAAGGACAAGGCACACATCTATGAATGCCCTCCATCTTTAAGCAAACTAAACAGGTGAAAGAATTATTGAGAAGTATCAATCAAAGATACCATCTTGTTGCTAAAAGAAATAAATAGAGAATTGGATTTTATATTTTGTTCCCAATAAGCATCTTTTTGTCTTAGTTAAGAATTGTAACCACCTACTTTACTAAACAAAAAAAACCCTTTAACGCCACTTGAAAAAAATTTAAAGCCCAGCAGGACACACAACTTCGCAGCTGCCAAAGTCACTATCCTGAAAAGTAAGAAGAGATCCCGTTACACAATACTACAATCCGATATTCACTTCTACAATCAAAAGAAAAGGAAAAATGAACAAGCGCCACTAAAAAAAAACAAAACAAAGAAACCAAACAAAAAATCCCCCACCCCAAACACACTGCAATAAAAGAATTAAATTGTGCTGCTTCTGCAATAACACTCTGAGCGACGGCCGCTGAAGAATCCTGTCCCAAAAACACACCTGCATTTACCCATCTGACCTCTACACAGATGAAGAACAAAGATAGAATTGATTCCTAATCAGGCTTGAATCCTGGCAGCTGTGCAGCACCCCCCTACAATCCTCGTTAGGTGGTAAAAAAACAGCACAGAAAAGGGGAAACACCCTACTTCGTACCACGGCACTGCAAAGGCTCCTTTACCACTGTAGGCACAGGGTATGACCTCTTTAGTAACTTCGACCGTTTTCCTCGCTTCTGAGGAAAAGCAGATATTTACAAATTGCTGAAGGCTAGTTTACTTCAAGCTTTGACGGGACAAGCTTTAGCAAAAGCTCTGCTTAAGTTAACACAGCAAATCGCAGAAAGTACCTTGCACGTGCCACCTGACTCTTGCACTAAAACAACTCCATCTCCGTGCAGTGACCGTGAAGAAGATGCACACTCCCATTTTTCAGTTTTATTTAGACTTCACGTGTCCAAGGAAGGACCAACCACCGAAAAACCTCCCACCCGCTGCGGTGTCCTCCGCCACACGAGGTCAACAGGCAGCGCAAGCGGACCCCCCCGCTAAAGGGGGGGGGGGGAGGGGGGAAGAAACTGCGGCCAGGACCCCGCTACAGCGGTTTTGTGGAAAAGTACCCCCGCTTTGGTTGCGAAACCCGGCTCTCACCAGAATTCCCGCCCCGTCTGCCGCGAAGGCCATGCGCAAACCCGCCCAGAGCACCCCGCAGGGCCGCCGGCCGTGCCCCTCGGTCCCTCCTCCCTCACACAAGCAGGGCGATCCCCCGCAGGGCCGCCCTCAGGACGCAAAGACTCGGCGGCCGGCAACCCACCTTGGCCAGGAGGCGGCTCTGGTGCGCGGCCAGCGGCAAAGTGACGGCGGTGCGGAGCAGGCCTGCGCCGCAGACGATGGCGGCCCACCACGGCAGCCCGGCGGCCTCCTGCAACGCCACCAACCCCTCCTCCGCCCAGTGCACCGGCGCCGACTGCGCC